ATTATGTCACTGTCACTGTCCTCCCATTGTTCATCGATTTGCTCGAGCCGGCCCAGTAACGTCTCCATTGTGACACTTGTTACTGTGTTTGGCATATCGAATACATCATGGGTAGCTTGTCACGTTTTGCTGTGTGGGTGAGATACTCTTGGTAGCTTGCCGGGCTAGTCACATGAATCCAGTAAGATTAGGGGTTTTATAGTGGGAGCAAAATAAATAAGAGAATTTGGCTTGAAGATGAGATGAGGAGGGATCAGAGGGTGGAAATGCCTTTTTCATGAGTTAATGATCAGACTGCTTCCTCTGCATGGGAGGTCTGTCAGTACAAGAGTGTGAGAGAGAGGTGGGGAGAGGGGAGGGAGAGGCAGGGGGTGAAGGAGAAATTGTTTGCCATGGAGGCAGGCATGGGGGACTATGAGGGAAACTGGGATGTTGGTGGTGGAAAATGTGCACTGGTGAAGGGACCGGTATTGGAGCATTATATGACCGAAACCCAACCACGAACAATTTTGTAACTGTGTATCTCACTGTGATTCAAATATTTATTTATTTATTTATTTGGGCTTTTTGGGTCACACTTGGCGATGCATAGGGGTTAGTCCTGGCTCTGCACTCAGGAATTACCCCTGCCTGAATTACCCAGCATCCCATATGGTGCTCAGGGGACCATATGGGATGCTGGGAATTGAACCTGGGTTGGCCATGTGCAAGGCAAAAGCCCTACCTGCTGTGCTATTGCTCCAGCCCCAATGTGATTCAAATAAAAAAAAAAAAACACAAAAAAAGAATGCCTCAAACAGCAAATTTGGGCACTTATAAGAAGGAGTGTACTGAAAACAAAGGCTATTAAGCCTCAAAATAAATTGTCACAGAACATTGAGACCATTTTCTAGACAATGAATTATAAACTATTCAGAATCTTTCCATAGTCAAAAAAGGGACACGCTAAGTGAAATGTTAAGGGTCTCTTTAGCTTTATTTAATATAAACTTTGCTTTGAGACCTTTGATAACTGGCTTATTAAGATATGGACATTTATTTGCTGTTAAAAATGAAAGTTTAGCTTAATTTCAACTAAATAGCTTAACTAAAGTTTGCCAGGGGCACTTATGATCTACTCCTCTTACACATTCTCAGTTTCCTTATAAAATTAAAAAACAACTTAATATTCTCCTCATTGAGGGAATTTTTGTGCTAGGGGCCAAAGATTTGCCTTTGTTTATTCTTACATATTTAGCTCATAATTCTGCATAATTGTATTTGATTAATATGGTCTCTTGAAAATGTGCAGCTATTAAATGACTTTTTTTCATAAGTATATATAATTCACCTTAGCTGCTCTCAGAGTACATCTACATTATATCTTAGGTGTCCAGTTTGTAATGAAATTAAAAACAAGGAAGCCAAGTTTTACTCCTGACTTGCTACAAATTACCTTGCTTCAGGCAAGGTGAGTGGTAGGGTTTTGTACTCACCTTCTGACTCCTTTTCTTTCTTGTTTTTTTCCCTTTGGGGCACACCTGAGATGTAGTACTCTGGGATTACTCCTAGCAGGATTCGGGGCGACCATCTGGTGTTCTCGGGATCAAACTTGGGTCTTCCATGTGCAAGGCAAATACCCTACCAGCTGTATTACTTCTTTGGTCTAAGTCTATACCTTTCCATTTTTAAAAAATGTTTTTCTTTTTTTGTATTTTGGGCCACACCTCGTGGTGCTTGGGGCTTATTCCTGCCTGTACCCTCAGGGATCAGTCTAGGCGTTGCTGAGGGGCCGTATGGGATTCCAGGGATTGAACCTGGATCAGCCATTTGCAAGGCAAGCACCCTACCTGCTATACTCTCATTCCAGCCCCCAAGATGGCACTGTTTTGTATATGGGGGTGAGGGGGGTTGAAATATATTACTTCTTTCTTTCCTTTCTTTCTTTCTTTCTTTCTTTCTCTCTTTCTTTCTCTCTTTCTTTCTCAATTGAATCACTCTGAACTAGTTGCCAAACTTTCATTTTTTAGTTTCAGTCATACAATGACTGAATACCCATCCCTCCACCAGTATACATTTTCCACCACCAATGTCCCAGTATTCCTCCCCAAGCCTGTCTCCCCCACCCTACCCCATTCTCTCTACTTATGGGTATTATGGTTTGTAATACAGATTACAGGTAATGAGAGGGAAAGGATATTCACCCAGTATCCTTCTGATAAGGGGTTAATATCAAGGATATACAAGGCACTGGTTGAACTCTACAAGAAGAAAACATCTAAACCCATCAGAAAATGGGGCAATGAAGTGAACAGAAACTTTCTCAAAGAAGAAATTCAAATGGCCAAAAGGCACATGAAAAATGCTCTTTATCACGAATCATCAGGGAGATGCAGGTCAAAACAACAATGAGTATAGCCGAAGTGACATCGTCAATTGTCTGTTTATTGCAGCACTCTTTACAATAGCCAGAATCTGGAAAAAACCTGAGTGCCCGAGAACAGATGACTGGTTAAAGAAACTTTGGTACATTTACACGGTGCAGTACTATGTAGCTGTTAGAAAAGATGAAGTCATGAAATTTACATACAAGTGGTACTACATGGAAAGTATCATGCTAAGCAAAATGACTCAGAAAGAAAGGGATAGACATAGAAAGATTGCATTCATCTGGGGAACATAAAGTAACAAAATAGGAAACTAACACCCAAGAATGGCAGAGATTAGTACCAGGAATTTTACTCAATGACCTGGAGGCCAACCACACATGTTATGGGAAAAGGGAACTCAGAAAGAGAAGGGAACACCAAATAAAGGGTGTTGGGAGGATCCTCCCAGGATGGGAGAAGCATGCTGAAAGTAGGCTATGGACCAAACATGATTGCCACTCAATGCCTCTTTTGCAAACCACACTCAAAAGGAGAGAGAGGGAAATGCCCTGCCACAGAGGCAGGATGGGATGGGGGCTGGGGGGTGGGAGGGATACTGGGATCCTTGGTGGTGGGAAATGCGCACTGGTGGAGGGATGAGGGTTTGATCATTGTATAATTGAAACCCAAGCACAAAAATGTGTAAGTCTGCAACTGTACCTCATTATGTCTCACTATTAAAAATAAATAAATAAATAAAAGTTAAAAAAAAAAACAATGAGATATCATCTCACACCACAGAGACTAGCACACATCCAGAAGAACAAAAGCTATCAGTGCTGGTGTGGATGTGGGGAGAAAGGGACTCTCCATTGTTGGTGGGAATGCCAACTGGTTCAGCCCTTTTGGAAAAAATTATGGACATTTCTCAAAAAACTAGAAATTGAGCTCCCATTTGACCCAGCAGTACCACTTCTGGGAATATATCCTGAGGGTGCTAAAAGGATGGCACCTTCTAAACACTAACTTCCTGTTTCCTCTTTCCATCCAGCCCCACACAACCGTCATTCTACACTCTTATCACTGTGAATGTTTCTCCTTATATACCTTATTCAAGTCATATACAGTATTTGTTGCATGGTGTTTTTTTCTTACTGAAGACACATTTTGATTAAGCATTAAGTAATTGTACTCAGTGTAGCCTCTGTTTCAGGTCTGTGCTGCTACTGAGCGTGTGTGTGTGTGTGTGTGTGTGTGTGTGTGTGTGTATGTGTGTTGGGGGTATTGGTAACACTCCTGTGGTGTGCAGTGCTTACTCCTGGCTTTGTGCTCAAGGATCATTCCTGGTGGGGCCGGGGGGGACCATATCTGATGCTGGGTATTCAGTCAGGGTCTTTGTGCGGAAGGTAAGCACTTTATCCCCTGCATTGTATATCCAGAAGTTTAGTGGATATATAGATGTTTAGTATATTCCTGCATTTACTAGAGTCTCTGGTCATTTCTTTTTTCTTCTCTTAATTTTCTTCTATTGAAATAACACTTGTTTGAAAAAATAAATCAAAGGTTTCTTGTGTATTCATTATAATTTAGCATCTATCTATGCTACATTGTGATTGCTACCAAAACTCTAGTTTCTATTTTGATTTTGCATTATAGTGATTTTCCTTTTCTGTTAGAAGAAAGATTGATCTATTTTGAAACTTTTAATTTCCATATATGCGTATATAATTTTATTTTTGGATTATAATACAAATAATATAAAGGTTTACTGGCTTAGAAGAGAAATATTTTGTGCTGCTTACATGATTTTTATTAAGTTTTGCATTTAATATTTTTAAATTAAATTCATATAAAACTAAGTAAATATAACTTGTATCAAACGTTTAATTTTGTATTTTGATCAAATAGAAACATATATAACTATCAGACCTCATATATTCCATGATATACGTCAACATTTTCAAGAATATTCCTAGGTCAAATAAGCTTTGTATTGGTTAGTAGATATTCAAGTACAGTATTTCTCAATTAAGTTAAAAAGTGAACAGTTGTAATTTTTATCTACTTTAGAAATTATTATTGACACATTACTTTTCACCCCATATTTAATCTGTAAGCAAATCTTGTTAATTTACCTTTTCAAGGTTTCAAAATCCATGAAACTTTATTCTTCTCTACGTCTGCTTCAATTCAAGCCATTATCTTGATATAGTTATTAAATTACTTTCCTAACCAGCATCCTGAATTTAATTTTGGCTTTCTGTTCTCTTTACTACAAAGTAGTTTTTCCAGAATTCTTCAACCACCTGTCAGTGAACTGGAGCTTGTTGTCAAGTATAAAAAGGTTGAAGAATGCTGATATTTGGCATCACTAAATCTAATTTTATCTAATTAAATCTAATTTAATCTCTCCATAACTTCTCAGGGTGAATACAGAGCGAAGACCACAGTACTAATTAAAAAGCTCCTTGAGCACATTTGTACCTCACTGGGATTGGAAGACCATAAGTTGTCAAAAGACAAGGACTATGTTAGTTTTTACTCAGTGTTGCATCTCTGGCAAGAATTCATGAGGTTATGCCTTTAAAACCTCTAGAGATTAATAAAAGGACTTACTGCTAGCTATTTATATTTGTGACTTTTGTTTTGTAGGTGGCAGTTCTTATTCCTTTCCGTAATCGCCACGAGCATCTTCCAATTTTTTTCTTGCATCTGATTCCAATGCTTCAGAAACAGCGACTGGAATTTGCTTTTTATGTCATTGAACAGGTAAGAATTATTATTCAAAATTATAATTATTTGAGATATTATAATAAATTAATATGAGAACTTAGTAAACTCTTAGCTATGGTTTGATTAAAATGTTTAACTAAGGTTAATCAGGTAACTCAAACCTTGGTTCTATATTTAGTTAAAATTATATTTTGGATAGAATATGTTAGTTATATATACATTTTGTTAACTCATTTATCTGTCACTGTAGTCCTGTCATTTCAAATTCTAATGTTGAATCTATTACAGTGAAATTTTCCCTCTAAATTCTTTTCATATTATCAGCCAACTTTTTGTTCTGTAAGTATTTTATCATCACAGTAATTCCTTATGCACAGTCTCTCAGTTTTATTTGAACCCTCTGGAGATACTTTCCCCTTTCTGTCATTACCTAGTTTTGTATATAACGTATCCTTTTATTCATGAAGTGCAGTGCAGCACTCCTCATCAGATTTCACACTGCTCACAGTTATACTTCCTCTCATTTGGTGAAGACAGGCAGGGAAGGAAAAGAGTAATTCCCAGCCTTATTCCCTAGAGAGTTCAGGGGTGAAGGGTTTAATTACAGAGATTCATATTCAGCACAACAGGAGCACGACAAACCCAATAGGAAGACACATAAAAGTGCGCCGAGCAAAAACAATAACACAGAAGACTCGACTAGCACCAACCAGCTCAATAAATCCTCTGACAATGACTTTAATGACACTATAGTGAGGATGTTTAATGAGCTCAATAAAGCAATGGTACAGGTAATGAGCAAAGCACAAGAATATGTGAGCTGAAATGAAAAAAACTACAAATAGAAATGAAGAGTTTTGTCGGTGATATTTAAACAACAAAACAAAACAAAAAATTAACTCAGAAGAATCTCTGAGCAGCAAAATAATAGCAATTGCTGAAGAAAAGATGCGGGCTCCATGATGAAGAAACCTCTAGGAAACAATAGAAGATGGGAAAAGTTCTGAAAAGAAATAAAGAGTACACCAGAGAATGAGTCCAAGAGAAACAATATAAGAATTACTGGAGTCCCTGAAGAATAGGAAGGCAAATTCAATGAAGAAACAACAATTAAATCAGAAAAGAATTTCCCAGAGTTGGGACAGAGAGATAGTGCAGTGGGAAAGGCCCTTGCCTTCCATGTGGCCAATCCTGATCTGATCCCCAGATTCGATCCCCAGCATTTCATATAGTCTCTCAGAACTGCCTTGAGCACAGGGTCAGGAGTAACCCCTGAGCATCACTGGGTGTAGCCCAAAAAACAAAAACAACAAACAGAAATATTAGAGTTCAGAAATACAGGCTTTGGGATCCAAGAGGCCCAAAGGGCCCCAGCAAAAATAGACTCAAATAGGAAGACTCCAAACACATAGTGCTCAGAATGACCAAATTCTAAGAATAAGACAGAATATTGAAAGCAACACTACCAAAGAAACTTACATACAAAGGAAAGCCCAGAACACCCCCAGATCTATCAAGTGAGACTATGAGCCAGAAGAGATGGAAGGATATAGTACAAAAACTCAGTGAACTGAGCACATCACCAAGAATTCTCTGTCTAGCAGGGTTATCTTTCAGAGATAAAGGAATGATGCAGAGCTTCAGGGACAGGCAATAGCTTAGGGAACTCATTTGAAACCAGTCTTGTAAGAAGCATTAAAGGAGCTTCTTTCAAAGCCAAGACAAACTCCTTAGCACTTTGCATTGAATATGGTATTCACTCATGGTGCTTATGGTTGCCCTCTGCTATATTGAGAAAGGTTTGTTGACTGCCATTCTGCTAACGGATCATACTTTTACAATAGAACTGTCCTCACGTTGTTCATCGATTTTGCCTGAGCAGGCCCAGTGACGTATCCATCGTGAGACTTGTTACTGTGTTTGCCATATTTTTTTTTTATTTTATTAGTGAAACACCATGAGGTACAGTTCTAGACCCACAAATCTTCGTGCCTGGGTTTCGATTATACAATGATCAAATACCCATCCCTCCACCAGTGCCCATTTTCCACCACCATGGATAATATCCCTCCCACCCCCATGCCCTCCGTCCCACCCTGCCTCTGTGACAGGGCATTCCCTTTTGTTCTCTCTCTCTCTCTCCCTTTGGGTGTTGTGGTCTGCAAGAGAGGCATTGAGTGGCAAACATGTTCAGACCATAGTCTACTCCCAACACGCATCTCCCCTCCTGGAATGAGCCTCCAAACACCCTTTTTTGGTGCTCCTTTCTGTATCTGAGCTGCCCTTTCCCTTAGATTACCCGGCTGGCCTCTAAGCTATGGAGTAATTCTCCTGTTGCTGATCTCAGCTATTCTTGGGTATTAATCTCATATTTTGTTACTTTATATCCCCAGATGAATGCAATCTTTCTATGTCTATCCCTCTCTTTCTGACTCATTTCACTTAGCATGATACTTTCCATGTTGTACCACTTGTATGTAAATTTCATGACTTCATCTTTTCTAACAGCTACATAGTACTCCATTGTGTAGATGTACCAAAGTTTCTTTAACCAGTCATCTGTTCTTGGGCACTCAGGTTTCTTCCAGTTTCTGGCTATTGTAAAGAGTGCTGCAATGAACAAACAGGTCTTTAATCAATGAAATGAGTGCAGATGTCACTTCGACTATACATTTTTGCCTCTCTGGGATATAATCCCAGGAGTGGTATTGCTGGGTCAAATGGGAGCTCAATGTCTAGTTTTTTGAGAAACGTCCATACTGTTTTCCAAAAGGGCTGAAACAGTCGGCACACCCACCAACAGCGAAGGAGTGTCCCTTTCTTGCCACATCCGCGCCAGCATTGGGTTACTTTTGTTCTTTTGAATGTGGGCCAGTCTCTGAGGTGTGAGATGTTATCTCATTGTGGTTTTGACCTGTATCTCCTTGATGATTAATGATGTAGAGCATTTTCTCGTGTGCTTTTTTGCCATTCGGATTTCTTCTTTGAGAAAGTTTCTGTTCATTTCATTGCCCCATTTTTTTGATGGGGTTGGATGTTTCCTTCTTGTGGAGTTCAACCAGTACTTTGTATATCCTTGATATCAACCCCTTGTCAGATGTGTATTCGGCGAATATCCTTTCCCATTCTGTAGACTGTCTTTGTATTTTGGTCACTGTTTCTTTTGAGGTGCAGAAGCTTCTTAGTTTAAGATAGTCCTATTTATCTATCTCTGTTTTCACTTGCTCAGCCAATGGCGTGGCATCTTTGAAAATACCATTAGCTTCAGTGTCATGGAGGGTTTTGCCAACTTTGTCTTCAATGTACCTTATGGTTTCTGGTCTGATGTTGAGGTCTTTAATCCATTTTGATCTTACTTTTGTACTTGGTGTTAGGCAGAGTTCTGAGCCCAGTTTTTTGCATGTAGCCGTCCAGTGATACCAGCACAATTTGTTAAAGAGGCTTTCCTTACTCCACTTCACATTTCTTGCACCTTTATCAAAGATTAGATGATCATATGATTGAGGGGAGATGTCAGTGTATTCAACTCTGTTCCATTGGTCTGCAGTTCTGCCTTTGTTCCAGTACCTTTGTTCCAGTATTACTGCTTTGTAGTACAGTTTGAAGTTAGGGAGGTTGATTCTTCCCATTTTCTTTTGCCCAAGAATTGCCTTAGCTATTCGCGGGGGCTTATTGTTCCATATAAATTTCAGGAGTGTTTGCTCCATTTCTTTGAAGAATGTCATGGGTATCCTTATAGGGATTGCATTGAATTTATACAATGCTTTCGGTAATATTGCTATTTTGACAATGTTAAGTCTCCCGACCCATGAGCAGGGGATATCTTTCCATTTCTTCATGTCCTCTTTTATTTCCTAAAGTAGCGTTTTTTAGTTTTCTTTGTACAGGTCCTTTACTTACTTAGTTAAGCTGATTCCAAGGTACTTGATTTTCTGGGGCACAATTGTGAATGGGATTGTTTTTTTCATGTAGCTTTCCTCTCTCTCACTGTTTGCATGTAGGAAAGCCATGGACTTTTGGGTATTGATTTTATAACCTGCAACTTTACTATACAAGTCTGTTGTTTCTAGGAGTTTTTTGGTGGAGGTTATTGGGTTCTCTAAGTAAAGTATCATATCATCTGCGAATAGTGAGAGCTTGATTTCTTCCTTTCCTACCTGAATGCCCTTAATATTTTTTTCTTGCCTAACCGCTATTGCAAGTACTTCCAGTACTATATTGAACAGCAGTGGAGAGAGTGGGCATCCTTGTCTCGTCTCTGATCTTAGAGGGAAGGCTCTCAGTTTTTCCCCATAGAGGATGATGCTTGCTGTAGGCTTGTGGTAGATGGCTTTGACTATGTTGAGGAAAGTCCCCTCTATACCCATTTTGGCTAGGGTTTTCATCATAAAGGGGTGCTGGATCTTGTCAAATGCTTTCTCTGCATCTATTGATATGATCATATGCTTTTTATCTTTTCTTTTGTTGATATGATGGATTATGTTGATTGATTTCCGAACGTTAAACCATCCTTGCATCCCTGGGATGAATCCTACTTGGTCATGGTGTATGATCTTTTTGATGAGTAGTTGGATTCTATTTGCTAGTAGTTTGTTGAGGATCTTTGCATCTTTGTGGTATCTCTGTCTGCTTTTGGTATCAGTGTGATATTTGCTTCATAGAAACTGTTCGGAAGTGTATTTGATATTTCAATTTCATGGAAAAGCTTAAAGAGGATTGGGAGTAAGTCTTCTTTAAAGATTTGGAAGAATTCACTGGTGAATCCATCCGGGCCAGGGCTTTTGTGCTTGGGGAGACTTTTTATTACCATTTCAATTTCCTTGATGGTGATAGGTCTGTTCAGGTATTCCAGGTCTTCTTGGTTCAGCCTTGGGAGTCTGTAGGAGTCTAGGAATTTATCCATTTCCTCGAGGTTTTGATGTTCCGTGGCATAAAGCTTCTCAAAGTACTCCCTGAGGATCCTTTGAATTTCTGTAGTTTCTGTTGTAATGACCCCCTTTTCATTTCTGATTCGGTTTATTAGGGTTTTCTCTCTC